AAAAAAAAAAAAAAAAAGTACAAAACTGTACACAGTGAGTCCAAAATGTATAGTCATGTACACGATCTATACTTCGTATGGTATAGAAAAATAAACTCACAAAACAATAAACCTTCTAGAAGAAAATACAGGGGAAAAGCTTTATGATTTTGAGTTAAAAAAGGGCATAAACCATAAAAAAGAAAAACTGATAAATTGAACTTAAGCAACATTAAAAACCTATGCTCCTCAAAAGACACTGTATTGATAGTAAAACGAAAAGACAACCCACAGACTGGAAGACAATATCTGTAAAATGTTTGTCTGATAAAGGACTAATTTCCAGATTATATAAAGAATGCTCTCAATTAATAAGAAGAAAACAACCTAATTAAAAACCAGGCAAAGATTTGAAAAACTGAAGTAGAATAATGTCAAGTAACTTGCTTACTGTCACAGAGTCAATAAGTAGCAAAACTGGAATTTGCAGGATAAGAGAACAGTAATATATAGAAGATTTATATGTTACATAATTTTTGATGGCCATAACTTTGAACATTCACCTGCTCTTCCAAGGTTTCACTTATAGATGTTGCTAGTTTCAACAGCTCTTCTGAATCTTGTTGGCATCTAGGTTTCAAAATAAAACACCCCAATTTCAATGTTCTCAATTGCTATAAACAGTAGGTCATATTCAAAACTGAAATTTAAGAAATATGTTGAAAAACTGTGGATTACAAAGTGCTTACTGACTTTAAGGTAACTGGTTTATAAATACATTACTTCAAAACTACTTCAAAATCATGCTCACCTAAGAACAGTATATAATGTTTAGTTTTAAATATACATGGCAAAAACTTTTTGCAACAATACCAGGAGGTAAAAAAATTCTATAGCGGATTCATAATTTAATAATTCTCAGATTTTTTATTTTAAAAAGTTATAGCTTTTGAAGACTTCAAAATAGGAAAATTCTTATTTAGTATAACTCCATTTTTATAAACTGATCTCTCCACTCCTACCAGAAAAAAGACCAGGTCAGAAGTGTTTATACAGTTTGGTGTATCTAGTGGTATTACAATAAAAAAAAAAGTTATTTCAAACAAAGAACATTACCCAGTATTTGGCTTGCGACTATAGTTCTCCTGAAACTGGTCCAAGGCAAGCATGGCTGAGTGAATCTCTAAAGGTGCCTATAGAACATTAAAAATTGGTCAATATTTATTGAGTGTGTAATATGTGTCAGGCACTGTGCTAATGCTTTTAAGACATTATTTAATTTAATCATTATAATAAATGTATTAGCTTATTACTATTATTATCTTTATATAACAGATAAGGAAGCTGAGACTTGACTTCAAGGTCATACAGCTATATTTAAACAAAAATCTAAGGTTTTTTTCCCTGTTGTGGCCTCTCCCGTTGCGGAGCACAGGCTTCGGATGCGCAGGCTCAGCGGCCATGGCTCACGGGCCCAGCCGCTCCGCAGCATGTAAGATCTTCCCGGACTGGGGCACGAACCCGCGTCCCCTGCATTGGCAGGCGGACTCTCAACCACTGCGCCACCAGGGAAGCCCTATAAATTCCTATTTTTAATCCTTGGGCATCAGCTCTAGATACATGAATACAACTTTTATTTTTAAAAAATCCGACAGTGTGACAGAAATCTTCATAATCTCTTACCAATCCCCACCTGCCTTTCTCAAACCTGCAAAGCATTTATTTACCTCAGGTTTGCTAAAATCCGCAATAAGGCACTTTGGATGCTTTATCTGCTTCTCTAATGGTTCCTAACAGAAAAAAAACAAAACAACAGAAAAAAATCCACTATTACTTTGGAGCAAGCACATGACTACTTGACAAACTACACAGAGCACTAAAAGCAATGGCTCCCTCCCAAAGGTCTGAAATAAATAAGGTTGGGCTAATATGTTTTAACTGAAATATAAAATAACTACCATTCACTGGTTACCCCTTTTCATATTATCACACTTTATTTTTTTAATGTTACATGCAACTAGATAACCTGCTCCAAATAGTAAATTTGGGAAGAATTGGTACAAACATTTGTATACTCGAAAAAATCTATAATCTTAGTCAAAGAGCTACCATATTTTTTTGATACCAAGTTATCAGGACTCGTTATGCCTGACATAACTTGAATAAATACCCAGTTAAAATTTTCTGTGTGGAGCAAAGAACACACCAAGGCCAAAAAACCCAACCAACACTCCACCACCACCTCTGCCCCACCAAAAAAACAAACCCAATCTGAAATTTACTTGAGGCATAATTAAAAATTGGGGTAAATGGCAAGAGGAAATAATGCACATATCTTCCTACTGCAGATTTGACTAGCTGTAGCATTTTAATCTGTTTAGCTCTAACTTTGGCTTGAACAAAACCTTGTAGAGGACTTTAGTTAATAATTGTTCTGGAAAAGAAAAGGCAGTCAAGTTAAAAGCTTGAGAACTTGTAAGAAAAAACAGAGAGGTATTAGACAGCTTATACTGAGAAGTGGCCTAAGGATTTAAGCAGCAAGAGGCTCCTTGGTTCCTTGATACAAGTAGCCTCTACATTCTCTCTATACAGATACTTACCTTTCCTTTCAATGCCAGTTTATGGGAATTATTTAACATTTCTAACATATTACACTATTTCTTTTTTTTTTTCTTTTGCGGTACGCGGGCCTCTCACTGTTGTGGTCTCTCCTGTTGCGGAGCACAGGCTCTGGACGCGCAGGCTCAGCGGCCATGGCTCATGGGCCCAGCCGCTCCACGGCATGTGGGATCTTCCCGGACCAGGGCACCAACCCGCGTCCCCTGCATCGGCAGGCGGACTCTCAACCACTGCGCCACCAAGGAAGCCCCTGCACTATTTCTTGAAATCCAAAAACTTAAAAATTTAAAAACCTGGATTAACAAATATGATAAATAAAAGAAATATTCCTTTTACTTCAAAAATATAAATAACCGAATAATAAAACAACATATACTGAATCAATCCTTATTAAATCTTTCAAATACATATTAGTTTTATCTTTTGTCTTAGGAAGTAATTATAAGAAGTATAATCAACTCTTTGATGATTCACAAAGGAGTAGTTCCTTTGTGAACTATATGGATGGGTACTGTAGCTGTAAATTTTTTTGCTGCTATCAGTTTATTTCCAGATTGATTCCATTTTCCTGAAAGTGGGTACAAATTAAAAAACAAAATCTGTTCAGCCTTTGAATTACTTTTATTGCTTTTTTCTCCCTACCATTCTTCTGTAAAGAAACATTTTTTTAATCAGGAAAAAAAAATACTTACAAAGCAGAATGTTTTAGGAGTCTTAACTTGAACAGCTATCCCTCCATGTAAATAAGGTTCCAGTTCTCTAGTATCACCAATGCTAAAAGAAAATGGTGATACCACTAAAAGGAGGAAAAAAGCAAACCATTACATACTGATATAAGTATTTAAATTTTAAGGTTTATCATCATAAAGATGTTAATTTTTCATAGTTTACAAAATTAAGATCTCAGTATAAATCATTTTATTTGGTGATGGGTGGAAGTGTGGGGAGCTAGACAGATTATTTTTCCCATACAAATATAAGGACTTAAGCAAAAATGGCCAAGAAAACTTGGAAGGAAAAAAAAGGAATGAGAGGTGCTTATTATTAGATATTAAAATACTTTATAAAGACTCAATAATTAATATACTGATACTTTTTATATATATAATTCATAATAATTAAAATAGTATGATACTGGCTCATGAATAGACAGGCAGACAAAGAGAATAGATTATTCAGTAATAGACCCACAAGGGACACAATTAAGGTGGTACCTCAAACCAGCAAAGAAAAGATACTCAATAAATCTTTTGGAAAAAAAGCCATCTGGGAAAGTATTCCAAATGGATAAAAGTTTTAAATATCAAAAATGATGACAAAAAATTATTTGATAAGAGCACAGGAGAAAAATTTCTTTAAAATTTTACAGTAAGGAAGGTTTTCATAATTATGACTCAAAAGAAAAAATTGAAAGCTTTGACATCATATACACATAGAGCCATCACAAGCAAAGTCAAATGCCAAACTAGAAAACAATTTTTGCGGCTCATATTAAAAAAAAAAACTCAGCAAATATGCCCTATATATTAGGAGTTCTGGGGAAAAATAACAACTCAATGAAAAAGTGGGCAAAGGACAGATGATTCACATTAAAGGAAAAAGAAATAGCTCTAAAACTTAAGAAACTTAATCTCATTCATAAAATGTAAAATGCAAATCAAAATTATACTATACCATTTTCAATCATACAGGAGACTATTCTACAATTACTCATGTGAAAAGACCATCTAGATGTTTAGTTTAATGAAAAGGCAAAGGGTAGCTTTAGTCATAATATGTTACCTTGCATGTAAAAATGCATAAGGAAACCTGGAAGGGCACACAATAAACTAAGAATAGTGGACAGGTAAGAATGAGTGGGAGCCATAGGTGGGCAATAAAGTTTTCACTATAAACATTTGCGTTCTATTTTTTTTTAAATTAATTAATTAATTAATTTTTGGCTGCACTGGGTCTTAATTGTGCATGGGCTTTCTCTAGTTGCAGTGAGTGGGTCTACTCTTCATTGTAGTGCATGGGCTTCTCATTACAGTGGCTTGCCTTGTTGCGGAGCACGGACTCCAGGTGTGCAGGCTTCACTAATTGTGGCATGTGGGCTCAGTAGTTGTGGCTCGTGGGCTCTAGAGTGCAGGCTCAGCAGTTGTGGTGCATGGGCTTAGTTGCTCTGTGGCATGTGGTATCCTCCCGGATAAGGGATTGAACCCGTGTCCCCTGCATTGGCAGGCGGATCCTTAACCACTGTGCCACCAGGGAAGTCCCCCTTCTATTGTTTTTGAACGATTTGCTAATTCACAAAATTAAATTAAATAAACAAGGTTTCTATATTAAGTAGATAGAAAAGGTCAGCAGAGTAAACATCAAACTTAGCTGCTGTTACTTCTGGAGTAGAGGGGAGGTCTGAACTAGTACTCATTTTTAACTCTACCTAAACATAAATACATATATATATCTAGAATAAGCATATATTGTTTTAGCTATTTAAAAGTGTTTTTCAAATAACAGAAAATTACTTTAGAGCACTAAGTACCAATTAATAAATGTTAAGAAAAAAAAAATTTTCATAAACTGCTACTCTATTCAAATATTCTCTCTCTGCTCAAAGAATTTTTGGTACAAAATGTGGGTTTTATTTTCATTCCTTGATATCCAGTGGCTTCTCCTGTTAATATATACATATAGCCTCAAGATTCAGATCCAGCACCACAATCCACCATTGCATGGCCCCCAACACAACAAAGGATAATCCTAAATAGTTAGTTGAGTCAATTTATGCAAAAACAGATATAAATTCTTTAATATCAGTGATATCAATCTGTATTTTACATATTTAGATATAGTCTGGGAAACATAATCCAACAATTTTGTTACCAAAGGTTTTTTTTTTTAATATTTATTTATTTGGTTGCGCCAGGTCTTAGTTGCAGCAGGTGGGCTCCTTAGTTGTGACTCGTGGGCTCCTTAGTTGTGGCATGCAAACTTTTAGTTGCAGCATACATGTGGGATCTAGTTCCCCAACCAGGGATCGAACCTTGGCCCCCTGCACTGGGAGCAGAGTCTCAACCATTGTGCCACCAGGGAAGTTCCCAAAGATTCTTAAATATAGATCCAAAGTTGTTTTGGTTTAAGAGTTTGTAACAGGGACTGATTTTTTTTTTTTTTCTCTCCTAAGGATCCATCTTGTAGTCATTAAAAGAAAAATAAAAGTAATCCATTTACTAGTCTATACACTAATCACATAATTATAGTTTTAGATACCTTAAAGATAAAACTGAATCACTCTCAACTGAACAGGTATAATAAACATGCTGTCTCTGAGTTACAAGACACCTAGCAATGTCTTTAACTCTTAAACATGGCTGGAGGAAAATCACAAACTACGCAGACTAACGCTGCTATAAATTCATTATTTTCAGCTTCAAATGGCCCCTAAATGAAGGCTGATGATTTTTTGATTTTTTAAAATGTTTACTCTCCTCAAATCTCTGGCCTTACCACCTTATCTCTCCTTTGGGTCATGATTTCATCTCACTCCACTGACAAAACAGATTCCTGCAGCTTCTTGCCAATAAATCCACAAATCTGCCTGCAGTAACATCCATTCATCCCTTTATCCAAGCCACTGAACAAAAACATATATCTTCACTTGAATACTTCACTGTCACCTCACCCAACGAGCCTAAACTGTACTCATTACCTCTCTCCAAAACCTGCTCCTCTTCTTGCACTCCCTAATGTGTAAATAAATAAGGTGCCAGAATCTTCGCTCACCTACCCCTGCTATATTATATCTTTAAGTTCCTTGAATTCTATCTTGCTTCGTACTGTTTGTCTCTGCACAGAATATTCTTTTCATCATCTTCGTAAGCCAATGCAATCAATTTTAATCAAGACACCCTGTCCCCACTGCTGCTGTACCAAAAGTGAGTAGGTTTCCTTGCTAAGGTTAGAGTTCCCAGAATGCCTTTTCTCTCTTTATACCACCACTGCAGAATGTTAGTATCCCCTCACTTGGATTAAATGTCTTGAGGCCAAGAATTGGATCATGTCTGTCTGAGCTGATGGTGTGTTCTTGACACTGAGTATAGTGTCTGAACTGTAAACATGCTGAATAATGGATAAGCATAAATGAATAAAACACATAAACTTACCAGTTATTTGTTGTGTAGATCCATTTAAGCCTGTCATTCCATTAATTTCTCGAAATGTTAGGAATTGTCCTGTTTCAAGTTTGTGAGGATGATTTTCAAGGCAAGTGACAATGCCAGGATTAGCCTAGAAATAAGAGTAATATACTAAAAAACAAGTCCATGTATTCCTTTTTTGTACAAATTCCAAATCTTACACAAAAAGGAACATGTTATCATAAAATTCTCAAAATAACCAAAATTCCAAGCCATTCTTCTCCTTCCATATTAAAAGCAATGCTTTAAAGAATTGTAACAAAATAGTGACATCATTTTATTATGTGATTTTCAAACTTATTTTATTATGAATGTTTAAAATATAATTTCTATGTTTGGGGGAAATAGATTCCACAAGGGAGTTCAAATATTTCACAGATTCAAAGATTCTTGTGATTTATAAAAACATTCAAAGTGACTGAATGGTAAGTTTCAAAGTCATTCATGACAGACTGTGTGTACATAAAAGATGAGTCTAACTTTGAAGATCAAAGAAATGTAAGAACAGAGGATGGAAATTTAAAGCCAGGAAAGTGGTAGTTTAAAGCTTATCTAACACTTTAAAGCAAAGAAATATTATGTACCCCTGCTTATCAAGATAAAAACAGGGGCTTCCCTGGTGGCGCAGTGCTTGAGAGTCCGCCTGCCGATGCAGGAGACGCGGGTTCGTGCCCCGTTTCGGGAGGATCCCACATGCCGCGGAGCGGCTGGGCCCGTGAGCCATGGCCGCTGAGCCTGCGCGTCTGGAGCCTGTGCTCCGCAAATGGGAGAGGCCACAACAGTGAGAGGCCCGCATAACGCAAGGAAAAAAAAAAAAAAAAAAAGATAAAAACAGGAAGGAATTGGCTTATCTCATCTAAAAGGTGGATGAGATAGGTCAGACACCAGGAAATTTCCTAACTGCATATAATCCATCACATTGCTTTAATAATGTGATAATAATTTAATTTACATAAAACCTAATGGAATTATAATTCTCTCTTTCATAAGTGTGTAGATTCTAAAAATTCTCTTGCTGTTTAAGAGTTTGAGAAATACAATTATGATCACAAACATGTAGATAAAATAAATGTAATGTGGGTTTACTAATATCTCAACAAGAATAGAATTCATAAGGACTTTAAGGAGAAATAATTTACAGATAAGTTAAATGGGAACATTCATGATATTTTTCTAATTTTTTATGGATAACCTCCATATTTCCTGCACTATTCAATAAAAGACAATATCAGTGCAATACAAGATCCCTTGGAGCTTATTCTAACTCTATAATATTCTTAGGGACAAACTAACAATAACTAGAGAAGGTAAAAGGCTGAACAATAACCATTCTGTAAGCAAAGAGATACACAAAATGATTTTTCAATGAATTTTTTCTTAAAAAGGGGTGAGAAAGGCAACATTACACTGGGTTTAAAAAGAAAGCATAAAGATAAAATCACAAATACTATTCAGTCAAAGTATATTATCATTTCCTTATGTTTGGTTTCTTTTGAGCTTTAATGTAAATTGATCATTAAGAGTGCAAATAAAGTTAATGATTTAGGCTAAACTACAGAAAGAGTAGTAAAAATGGATCATAATAATTTCTCCAATTCTTTCAGGGAATAAAAAATTAAGCTTGCATGATATTAAGAAAACATGGTTAGAAAATTCAGAGTTTTTGATTTGAAGGTTAATTAATTCGTAAACTTTTCTCATCCTCCAAATAATATTTTAGAAATATAACAAATTAGAAAAGCTTTTGTTTATGATGACTTAAGTGTTCATCTTCCTGGAGTGTTGGGCCAAGTGACTTATGACATACTTAGTACATCTATGATCTGACACAATCAACAGTTCAGTAAACACTGACTCACAATTCATGTCCCATAGGAACATGACAGAGAACAAAATTAAAATTAATGACATAATCAAATGTTCATCAATTGTTAAAAAATGTTAGATGGAATCCAGAATACTCTCTCTTAATATTCTAACTTCAATTTTAAACAAATAAAAAATACTGCATATTAAAATATCTTGCTAATATCACCTTTTAAAAAATAGTTTTCACATCAACTTAAAAAAATCAATCACACACATATACAATAATATACATATATAATCATACTTGCGTTATATTTGAAATGAAAATCTCTTTTGGTTCCTCTCCTGTTGTATCTAAAACTTCAAATTCATCACCGAAATCACAAAACAACCGTGACCAAATTCCATGTATATCTGCACTGATGAACTGTGAAATGAAGAAACAAGTTGAAGCTTATACATTTATATAAAGGAAAAAACCCCCTCAACTATCTTAGGCCTTTTGGTGACAATTTCATTTATAATTAAGCATATTATTTGAGGTATAAAGTGACCACAAATATGATAATTTGTTTGTAAATTGGTTTTAGAATCAAGGATTTTGGTATTTCGGACTGGATATCTAGTGTTAACAAAATTAGAAGCAACATCAGCACACCATCATTGTACATTCTATAATTTTTAAATAACAAAAATTCGTGCCTTGCCCTAAAAATCAAGCACAGAATATAAGAAAGATAACTTGGGTTGATGGTCTAGGAGTGAATTCTTACCTTTCATTTTAGAAAAGAAGAATGGAGTGTCCATTCACCAAAAGCGGTAGAGTTGAAGGAAAATAAAACAGCTAAAAACTCAGAGTGGCGTCAACAGGAAAGGGGCTGAGGTACTAACAGTGCACATCGAAATTATGAAAGGTAAGAATCAGATTCTTAAACACAATCATAAATGTTTTATTGAAAGTGATTTTTATAACATATACACATTCTCCAGTCTAAGAAAATGTAAAGAAATTATTTTTGTGCTCAGTTAGTTTTAGACATACTGATAATAAAGAAAAAGTCTTAAGCTGTAACACATATGATCCTGTATAAGGTGATATTTTTCTAACAAAAACTAAAGTCTATTCATATTTGGGCATAAGAACGTAGCCCATTAAAATAATTTACACCACCTATTATATGAGGTAGTGAAATAGCTAACAGAAAACTACCTCCTACTTGATCATGCACTGCCTTTACTATCAAAATAGGTACCTACAGCATATTTTATGAGACATAAAACTGAGAAGAAATTTATAAGCTTTTTTTTTTAGTTTAAAAGCTGCAAACTCAAGGACAATTTCTTTCTTTGCAAAACAACTTTAAAGTATGAATATATGCATCAATCACATAAAGATTTTAGTTTACAACCTTGTGTAATTATTTTGTAAAACTTTTATGTTCTGTTCTAAGTTTACTGACTACTCTGTCTTATTCATCTACTTAATTTAATTTGTGAAGCAACACAAATGTTCTACAGAGTATAAATATGCTATGTAAGTACCACAATCCAAAGATTTTCAGCACATCTATGTTATACAGTACGATGATAGTTTAGTGCCTATCTCAAAGGAACAAATAGCATTTTCCTTTTGCCAAAGGAACAAAGGACCCCACGAAGGAGGTGGAGTTAGTAATATGTATGCAGTTGCAGGGGATGAATTGTGATTTTTCCCATCTAGACCTCTTTCCATTCTATTCAATGTCATCACTACTTAACAATACCTAATTACTCTGAACAAAAATCTAGGAGTCATTCTTTATCATTCTTTCCTTCACAACTCTTATTCATCCATTCTCAATCCCATTAGTCTGTTTTTACAAAAGATACCTCGAATTCAATGACTTCTCACGCTCTCTATTCCCATCAAGGCACAAGTATCTCTCACTTGGACTACTTACTGCATTAGCCCCTAACTGGTCTAGCCACCTCTACTCTACTGTTACAATTCAACAGTTCTTTCTTTTTGGTTTCATAATCCCTTCAGATTCTTAAAAATTATTGATGACCCAATTAGATTTTGTTTACGTGGGTTATACCTACTGATATTTACTGTGTTAGAAAGTAAAACCAAGAAACACTTAAAAGACAAGAACACACACACACATTCAATTAGCTGTCAGAGCAATGATATCACCACATCAAGTAGACTTTGTAAACTCTACTGCAGCCCATAAGAGAATCAGGGTGAAAAAAGCAAATAACATTTCAGTAATATTATAATAGTTTGACTTTGCAGACCCTATGAAAGGGTCTCAGGGACCCTCAGTGTCCTTGGACCACACTTTGAAAACCAAAATTAAAAAGTATTATTGTGATTGTCCTCATGTAAAAAGTTTCTTATATAACTCACTGAAAAGCTATAAATTCTAATACTGAAAGTGCTTTTCCTTTGGTAAACTATGTGTCATTATAAGTGATACTATTACCTTTATTGGAGGGCACTGAGAACGGCAAAAGTCATTGATCTTCTTCTGCAATGATAGTCTGATCTCAGTCAATACTACACACTGTTGAGAAGAATACAAGAATTAAAGATTAAAAAATAAACAATTATTTTGGTAATGTACAACTTCTAAATCAGAAGCATTTCAGTTTGCACTATGCTAAAAATACCTTGTTTTCTTTGTAAAAAGTACTATCGTATTGTACTCCATTTTAAGGTTAACACCTTTACCTTCAGAGGTACAGAGTAGCAAAAGTAAAAGTAACATACAGCCATCTCTAGGTATCTGCAGGGGACTGGTTCTAGAACTCCCTGTGGATACCAAAATCTGCAGATACTCAAGTCCCTTATATAAAATGTCATAGTATATAGGACAAAACCTGCCCACACTAAATTCAATTATCATCACAATTAGAAGCAAACCTTAATGTCCTATGTGGCATTTACACAACCCAAATGGTTGGAGGTTTTTTGTTTTTTGTTTTTTTTTTTCTCGTACGCAGGCCTCTCACTGTTGTGGCCTCTCCTGTTGCGGGGCACAGGCTCCGGACGCGCAGGCTCAGCGGCCATGGCTCACGGGCCCAGCCACTCCATGGCATGTGGGATCCTCCCGGACCGGGGCACGAACCCGCATCCCCTGCATCGGCAGGCGGACTCTCAACCACTGCGCCACCAGGGAAGCCCCTTGGAGATTTTATTTTACCTGTTACTGCCATGGAAATGCTTAGTCATCAAAATATTAATTAAATGCTAGCTTAAAACAATTACATTTTCAAAGAGATACATTAGTTGGCTGAGCTTTCTTTTACTTTTACTTCAGAGATTCAACAGATTCACAATATTACAACTTTTATTTATGACAGTGCCACCAAGTTCTGTTATTTAAGATAGCAAATTATAATTTTCAATGCTTACTTTAATTTTTTATCATCACCCTGTGAGATAGGTAGAGAAGGTTTTATAATTAGATTTTATCATAGCTAACTTAAACTCATAAAGGTCACATATTTTCTTAGGGTCATTCATCTATCAAGTGGCAAAAGCAGGTTGACACACTCAGTCCACAGCTTTCCTTGCTGCTGGTTTCTATGAAATGGATAACTCAGTTTCACTACAAATAACCAGGTATGGATTTAGTTTTATCTAGCTTAGAATAGGGTGTGATTCCTACAGAGTGGTAATCCTCCATGGATCTCTTACTGTTTATCTATCTCTCATTGGGTATATCACGAATGCAAGGCTCTGACCATTCTTTACGTGGGCTGTTTCTCAGGATTGTATTTGCCTTGTGCAACCTTGAGAAATGAGGTAATGTCTCCCTCTGGGACAAAGAGCAATCTTGTTCACTGCTTGCTATAAAACAGCAAGTTCCCCAAGCTCAATGTTCCTTTCCTCTAAAGGAACCCACTACATGTGCAGGTATCCACTGAGCCCTCTGCACTGCACTGGGATTTGGAGGAATGCAGGAGGAAACAAGGCAAATATCATGCTCACACATTTACCATGCTCTGAGTAATAAAGTCCTTAGTCTCTGATCCAGGAATCTCATGTTTTCTGCCAGCATCCATGAAACTGTAACAGGCTAACTTACTGGCTTGCAATTAGGATAAAATCAAATCCTATTAGACCCAGTACATATTGAGTCTAAGTTGTGTTTCATCAATGCTAGAAAATTCTCAACCATAATTTGAATATGCCTTTTTCTAGAAGTCCAATCTCATGTATTAGACCTTTTTATTCAAGCTCTCATTTCTTTTAATTTCTCTTCAGTATATTCTCTTATTACTGTGTGCTATAATTTTTATTTTTAGATTTAATTCTATTTATTTATTTATTTATTTAGGCTGCGTTGGGTCTTCGTTGCTGTGCGCAGGCTTCTCATTGTGGTGGCTTCTCTTCTTGCAGAGCATGGGCTCTAGGCATGGGGGCTTCAGTAGGTGCAGCACGTGGGCTCAGCAGTTGTGGCACAGGGGCTCTAGAGCACAGGCTCGGTAATTGTGGTGCACGGGCTTAGCTGCTCTGTAGCATGTGGGATCTTCCCGGACCAGGGCTCGAACCCCTGTCCCCTGCACTGGCAGGCAGATTCTTATCCACTGCACCACCAGGGAAGTCCCTGTAGTTTCACTAATCTCCTCAGCTCTATCTTTCAATTTATTAATTCTTATTCCAGTTGTATCTATCCACTGTTTAATATATTCATTGTTTTAATTTTTAGGACTATATTTTTCATTTCTAAAAGTTCTATTTGGTTATATCTGCCTGATTGCTTTCAATAGTGTTTTATTTTCCTGTTGTATATTTAATCCCTTCTTGTAAGATTTAGTCTGTTTCAACATCTATATTCTATAGTCCCCATCCAATAATTCTATTGTCCGAAATTCTTGGAGGTTTAATTCTATTGTTTGTTATATCCACTGACTCTTGATTATGCTGAACTGCTTTTTCCTGTCTTATTATTTTGTATTATGAACACAACCTCATAGGAGCTTTATATATTAGAATATACTGTGGCCTGGTTGAGGGTATATTCCTCTAGATCTTCCGTTTCTGTCTGGCATTCCAGCATATCACCAGCTTAGTACTACGCTTTGTGTGTGTGTGTGTGTGTGTGTGTGTGTGTGTGTGTGTGTGTGTGTCAAGATATTTATTGTGCACAAGATAGTTAACTGTCTTTTTCAAATTCTAAGCCCTGTATAATTCACTCACTCATTAGGCTAAAAGGCCTTAAGAAGTTATTCAATATAATCTCTTGAATCCAGGCAAGTCTACATGATAATGTGCATAGAAGTAAAACCAAGACTTAAAATCTTTAAAATCACAAGGCAACGTCACAGCTTTCTCAATCACCCTTGTTTCAAGACATAACTATCATCTCAAACAGGTTATACACAAAAAATTACTGATCAGACATTCACAAAATATGCTTTGAATGAAAATAACATCGCAACAATTGACTCAGAGACACCTATATGGCAAAAACTATACCATGATACAAATCAGAAATAAGAGTTTAGGATGAAAACTTGAAAAAGGTACAAATTTAAGGGGTGATAACCTAACTTTTATTAAACTTACTGCTCTCTGTCTCCAAAGTTGTGCTGTATCAATGACAGTCTTCCACAGTGCCTCTTCTCTATAAAGGTGAATATACCAAAACCAGTCCAACTGGCTAGTCATAGATTGTAACTAATGCAAGTTAGTTTTTTAAGGTGTATTTGATATTCCATCCACATAACCAGGAACTGTCTTAAATAATAACCATCCTATATTTAACCACAACCATAAATATCATTCTGAATCAATTGAAGAAAATGCCCCCAAAATCTGATTTAATTCAATTTGAAAACCAATTCATTTCCATATTAAACCATTTTTTTAAAAAGAAGCTGGAATAACATTATGAATTATTCATAATCCTGGGAAATCATTAATTTGGGCAGTGGTTGGAAACAGCATAAAAGAAATTATCAACCAACTTCTCTCACCCCTTATGTAAGGAAGAAACATTACTTTAATAGTTAAGAAGGCAATGAATTGGCTGACAAGGGCCCATGGTCTATGGATGAATCTAGAGATGGAATTAGGGAATGGGACATCAACTTGTGTTGAGATGTAGAATCTTCAATATTTACCAAGTCTTTTCCAGAGGTAATACCTTTGCTGGCTTGTCTTTATTTTTTTCTCTATGGTGAAACTATAAATTCTGAACTACTAATGCTCAATTTCTGTGACATTTCCACCACTAACACTGGAAAAAGCTTTGTTTTACAAAAAAATACACAAAGTACATTTTTCTGAGAAGCAGATGAACAGTTGGGGTATTCTGTGGATTTTTTACCACAGCTGCTAACAGCCATTTGCTTAACTCTGCAGCAAAAGCAACTTGAAAGAAAGACGTTTCCACAGTTTGAGGAAAAGAACCAGACCAAAAAGGATAAGGGAAGCTGATGGAGAAAACTGTAACTTCCAAATGGTGAGGTCCTTAGGTTAATGTTGCACTAGACTTAAGTCACACATTAGAGTTCACTCAGTATGACACACACTAGGTCCATCCACCTCACTACAAATAACTCAATTTCGTTTCTTTTTATGGCTGAGTAATATTCCATTATATGTATGTGCCACATCTTTAACCATTCATCTGTTGAGGGACACTTAGGGTGCTTCCATGTCCTGGTTAGTGTAAATACAGCTGCAATGAACATTGTGGTACATGACCCTTTTTGAACTATGGTTTTCTCAGGGTATACGCCCAGTAGTGGGATTGCTGGGTCATATGGTTGTTCTATTTTTGGTTTTTTAAGGAACCTCCATACTGTTCTCCATAGTGGCTGTATCAATTTACATTCCCACCAACAGTGCAAGAGGGTTCCCTTTTCTCCACACCCTGTCTAACATTTAATGTCTGTAGATTTTTTTGATGATAGCCATTGTGACCGGTGTGAGGTGATAGCTCATTGTAGTTTTGATTTGCATTTCTCTAATGATTAGTGATGTTGAGCATTCTTTCATGTGTTTGTTGGCAATCTGTATATCTTCTTTGGAGAAATGTCTATTTAAGTCTTCTGCCCATCTTGGGATAGGGTTGTTTTTTTGATATTGAGCTGCATGAGCTGCTTGTATATTTAGGAGATTAATCCTTTGTCAGTTGCTTCATTTGCAAATATTTTCTCCCATTCTGAGAGTTATCTTTTCATCTTATTTATGTTTTCCTTTCATGTGCAAAAGATTTTAAGTTCCATTAGGTCCCATTTGTTTATTTTTGTTTTTATTTCCATTTCTCAAAGAGGTGGGGTCAAAAAGGATTTTGCTGTGACTTACGTCATAGAGTGTTCTGCATATGTTTTCCTCTAAGAATTTTATAGTGTCTGGCCTTATATTTAGGTCTTTAATCCATTTTGAACTTATTTTTATGTATGGTGTTAGGAATTGTTCTAATTTCATTCTTTTACATGTAGCTGTCCAGTATTCCCAGCACCACTTATTGAAGAGACTGTCTTTTCTCCACTGTATATTCTTGCCTCCTTTATCAAAGATAAGGTGACCATATGTGCATAGGTT